TCTGATATTCGAAAGAAGGGGAATAGATTTTATAGGGTATAAATCGTCGTAGGGTTCGATAGGGGATAGAAACATACCCCTATACTTTACGTGAATCTTTAAGTGTTTATAAAATGTTATACATTCTTGTATATTGGCATTTGTCATAGAAATATATTCAAATGGTATGCGAGAATAGCTTTGACTCCATTCAAAAGAGAATGTTAGATATTTTAGGAACATTGATTTTTCAATCAATTCACCATGCTATCAAATTGTGAAATAAAGGTTAAAAGTGAACTTATTTAGCGATTCGGGATCCTAGTACACTTTTCATACATAAATTACTTTAAGGATTTTTCATTCAAACTTTATTTTTGCATGTAGTTTGTCTACTTCCATATAAATTTGCTTTCATAGTATAATTTGGATAATTTTATACATGAATCATCTCACTGAATCTACTTAGTTTCGTTTAAGGTCGAGATAATCAAAATTTGAACTAGCTCAATCTCTGTGGGAACGATACTTGGACTTCAAAATTCATTTTTATTACTTGAACGATCCATACACTTGCTGTAATCAAAGTTGAATACATTTCGGCGTATCACTTACCTTATCCTTTATCAAAATATGTCTATTACAAATCCTTTTCCAATTCTCATTGTCACTACCTTTTAAATGTATCATCCAGTTTTGAGACCGAATACTATCACCAAGCTGTAAAGTATGATCAGTGGAGGGCAGCTATGGCAGCTGAGTTAGATGCTATGGAACTGAATCATACATGGCCTGTCATGAAACTACCAGTTGGGAAACATAACATAGGCTGTCGGTGGATTTATAAAATAAATACAGATCTGATGGTAGTAGAGAAAGGAACAAAGCACGCTCAGTAGCCAAGGGATATACCCAGTAAGAAGGAGTAGATTTCAATGAGACTTTTTCACCTATTGCTAAGCTTGTTGCGGTCAAGGTATTTCTAGCAATAGCAGCAACAAATCACTGGGATATTATCCAACTTGACGTTAACAAAGCTTTCCTCTATGGAGACTTGTTTGAGGAGATTTATATGAATTTACCATTGGGATATAGAGAGTTTGCTGGTTCCAAAGTTCAGGGGGAGAATTTGGTTTGTAAACTTCACAAATCAATCTATGGTCTTAAGCAAGCATCAAGACAATGGTTTTCAAAGTTCTCAAATGATTTAATCAATCATGGTTTCAAGCAATCGAAAGCAGATTATTCTTTGTTTACCAAAGTACTGGTAGCAGTTTTGTTGCCCTCTTGATCTATGTTGATGAAATCCCAATTGCTAGAAATAATCAGCATGAAATTGACTCACTAAAAGGCTTCCTACACAGTCAATTTAAGCTGAAGGATCTCGGCAGTTTGAAGTATTTTCTGGGGCTGGAGGTTGCAAGATCTCATAAAGGAATTTTTATGTCTCAGAGGCAGTATGCTTTACAACTACTTGAAAATACTGGTTTTCTTGCATGTAAACCAGCAACTCTCCCTATGGATCCTAAAATAAAACTTAGTTCATTTAAAGGGGAACTTCTTGCGGATGCATCCATGTATAGGAGATTGATTGGTTGTCTACATAATCTAGCAGATACCAGACTTGATATAACATTTGTGATTCACAAATTAAGCCAATTTGTATCTCAGCCTAGACAACCACATTTGTAGATTGATTGGTTGTCTTCTTTATCTAGCCGTTTCCAGACTTGATATAACATTTGTGATTCACAAATTAAGCCAATTTGTATCTCAGCCTAGACAACCACATTTGGATGCGGCACACCATCTACTGCAATACATCAAGTCTTGTCCAGGGCAAGGAATTATGTTCTCTGCACAATCTTCTTTGTAGCTAATAGCATTTACGAATGCAGATTGGGGAGCATGCCTTGATATAAGGAGATCGATCACCAGATTTTGTGTCTTCCTTATAGATTCTTTAATCTCTTGGAAGGCTAAGAAGCAAACCACAATTTCCAGATCTTCGGTTGAGAATGAATATCGTGCATTGGCATCTACCACTAGTGAGATCATTTGGCTTACTCAAATCCTTCACGACTTTTAGATTTCCAACAAAGATCCAGCATTGATTTTCTGTGACAATCAAGCAGCAATTCACATTGCTTCTAATCCTATCTTTCACGAACGCACTAAGCACATAGAGATTGATTGCCATTTTGTTCGGGACAAGGTGACTGATGGATTTGTCAAGTTGATGCCAATTCGTTCTACTCATCAGTTAGCTGACATGTTTACAAAGGCCTTACTGGCTTCTATGCTATTTCCTTTACTCTCCAAGATGGTTGTGATTAATCCCCACCTTCCATCTTGAGGGGGAGTAATAGAGTTGAGTATGAAGTTGGAGATTGGAGAAAGTGCTCTGCTAGTGAAATCGGTCCATTTACACCTACAATTCTTTCAACCAAGGCCGAGCTCTCTTCTTCTCGAATTTTTTTTGGATGCACTCTCGCTTTAAGTTAAGTAGCTGAAACCTCTATGTAGAAAAGTTTCTTATTTCGAAATGAATGGCATTCTAGAAGCTCTCACTCAAACAAGGACTTCCTATACTGTACTAAAGCGGAATCAGTGGACATAGAGTATGTCCCCCTCCTGACGTTCTCCTAGCGGGTGAACTATCAATAGCGATTGAAGCTCCTTATGCCTGGTTCCGAAAAACTCTCCCTTCAGAGCTACCCTTGCCTGAAAGCAGAAGAGGTAGCTTACTAACCTACTGGAGTAAGTAGTCTTGTCCGAAAGCCTCAGGCGAAAAGACAGCTTAAAAGTAACAAGGTTCTGAAAGAAAGACAAGCCTTAAGTTAAGGCAACTAAAGCTAGGAAGGTAGGTTAAAGTGACTAGTCTTTCTTATCCGAAAGCAAGCAAGATAACAAGGGAGGTTTTAGGCAACTCGCAGGTTTCGAGATGGGTTTCCTTGCGGGTGTGTTCACTTGTTTTCCTATNACCTACCGGACTCTAAAGGAAAGGTACACTTATTTGGAAACTAGAAACTTGCCGGTTTCAAAGCGAAACTCGATCTTACTTTAACACAAGGGCCGGTGGACATCATTGATAGTGGCATCTCTGTTTGCGCACATTGGAGAAAGTGCTCTGCTAGTGAAATCGGTCCATTTACACCTACAATTCTTTCAACCAAGGCCGAGCACTCTTCTTCTCGAATTTTTTTTGGATGAACTCTCGCTTGAAGTTAAGCAGTTGAAACCTCTATGTAGAAAAATACATATTTTTCATATTTTATTGACTTGGACCTCTTGTTTGCTTTTTCAAATTATATCAAGATTTCACTCCAAATACACGTGTCATCTTTGTATTGGTATTAATCATAAATTAGTTAGTTTATTAAGATCATCCCTCTCTATTTATATCACAGAATTGTATTGTAAAATTCAAGTTTGATTAATTGAAAGATCAATTCATTTTCCCTTTTCTGTCATCTCCGTTCTCTGGCCTTTTATTTTAATACTCTAAATTATAAACAGGAACCAAGAGCAGCGTGAGCGTGTGACAGGAGAAATAAATGCCATTCAAAGACACGAACGTACTACATTGAAACCTTTGTCAGCTGCTTAAGAATAAACAAAGATTTGGTAGTCTAAAACTAGATTAATTACAGCCAACACTATCCACTCCAAATAATATCATACAACTAATTGATAAAATTACAGCCGAAAGTTGATGCCAAAACAGAATCTATGGTAAATCATGACATCCCAACACAGTCACGTGTAATCACGTGTTCTATGTAAGTACAATATTTTGTCGAGAAATTACATGGAGACATCTTTTTTAGAAAGAGTAAAATGTGTCAACTGATTTTCAATTTCTAAATAAGGTCAACTTTTTAAAAATTGTTGTCTATTTTTTCAAAAAACCATTTTCTTTTCAAAGTATTATCAAATCTCTCTCTTTCATTTGCATGAATTCCGAACTATCTAAGTAATCTCGACATATTATGCAAAGTTGATGAGAATTTCTAGTCCATTAAGACGCTATAGTAATCCTTACTAGCGCACAATAAATTCTGAATTGTCAAGAATTTTGTCATTATTTTGCATTATTTAATAACCATATTTAAGAAATATTGAAGTTTGGGATCATTTTGTATAATTAACGCAAAAAAACAACTAAATTAAATATAAAATGTATGCTATGTAGTGAACATGGACTCAACAATACATGTGATCAATGAAAAGTAAAAATTTTACAATAAATCTTCAGTATGACAATTATTTGAAAAAATAATAATATAAACAGTCCACAACCAACTCAAAACTTCAATTTTGTCAAGAAAACGATGCGCGGTTTGACAAAAGAATTAATGCAGCAGCAAGTTTACATAGTTCTGGACAAAAAATCTATGTTTCCTGTGCAACCTCAGAGTTGGGTTGCTCCACTTCATCGACATGCTTCGGATCCTGAGGCTGATCTAGTTCAGAAGCTGGTGATTCCCCACCATTTTTCCTCATGGAAGTAGTCTTGGTGAGATGAGTGTAGCTACCCTTTTCCTTGAACAATTGTGCAAAGTGAGGTTTGCAGTAAAGGATTCCATCCAAAGCAGCATAATTTGAGGTTGTCAAATTGCAGCCTCCATGAGCACATCTAAAGCATGTTTTGTGATAAAATTCACCCTCCACTGTCACCTGTAAACATATAATTTATTCTTCTATATTACTTACTCGACACCTATGTGACACTTTTACCTAATAGTTGAAGTTGCTAGCGAGGGATGAAAATTATATTTTACATTTTAAATTGTATTTTTGGGAAATAATTTTATTAAAGATCGTGATTGTTAATGTATTATGGCTGCCTCACTATTACTGGGCATGTTGGGCAATTTGTGCAATTGGGCCACATTTAAGTGAACACGGTTTTGGCCTCTTGATGGTTGAGGATCTGCCCTACGTGACTGCATTGTGATCATTGGATTGTGACTGTTGAGTTGGATAGATATGTGACTTGATCTTGGCACTTGACTGCTTCCAGATTGTTCCGCTTGAGCCTCTTTGTTCTTCTCCCTTTCTTCAATCTCTGATTCTTTGTGAGTTTTGATTGTTGTATACGGTCATTTAGAGATTGAGGATTGTGTGATTACGTTTGTAGAAGAGGCGAGATAAAACTCGAAGAAACTGTTAGTTTCTTTGTACATTCTGTACTAATACTTGGTTTGTTCTTAGTGGATTTAGAGCTATATCACATTGTAGATGCTCAACGGGTGATTAGATCGTAAGATTGAACATCCGGGCCCTTAGGGGCGAAAAATCCTTGTGTTCTGATTTTCTTTAATTTTCTGCAATTATGTGGTTCTTGTAAAGTTCGATCCTTAGAATAACTTGTTTTGGGCCTAACACTGATGGCTAAAGCTAGGTTTAGAGCTAGTTAATAGTCCATCTTTTCCGTCTTATTTTCCTTATGTTGGTTGTGCAAATTATGCGTGTACTCTAATTTCCCGACTTTCTTCGTAACACGTGTGGTAGGAGTCTGTGTTAAGCCCCTGCTAGCTAGCTCGTCGATTTTAAAGGGGGAAAAACAAACCTTTTCCAGTGGGTACACAGTTTTTTGGCATACTGCACATTTCTCTTGGGTGCCAGAGAAGAAGGTAGAGACTTTACTGGGAGTCCTGTTCTGTAATCACATTGATACATGCATAAAATATACCAAAAAATATAATATCTGAAAAAAAAATTGATGAAAGAGAGGCTGTACCAGTTCTGGTTGCTTCCCAGCTGCTATAAAAAAATGAAAATAAAAATAAAAATTATGTAATAAGAATGTATGCAATGATATGAATTAATTATTTACTTGCGAAAACAAAAACGAATGAAAAAGAAGCTCACTTGCAAATTGATACTTCTTAGTACTGAAGCTTCCAGTTTCCTTAAAGAGTTGTTCAAAGTGAGGCTTGCAGTAAAGGACTCCATTCAAGGATGAGTAGTTGCTCATCTGCAACATATACAATACAATAATTCTTGAGGTACATTTTATGTCAAAGTAATATATGCATACAAACAAATTTTATTTAGGGGTCGGTCCAATGCATCTTTCCAGGGCAGACTTTGAGATATTACGGGCTTTAAGCCAAACTTTATACGAGGACTTTAGATAAATAGTTGAAAATAAAATCACATAAAATGATTATACTCTCTCTAAATCACTCTAACGACATTAAGTTGTGTCGTTTCAAAACAATTGGGGTGCAAAAATCAAGGGTCAAAATGAATGCTATCTCATCATATGTCAACAAAGGTGTAAACATCATATGTACGTGTAGCTTAATTGATGATTTAAAAGAGATTCGAGAGTAAAACTAAGAAATTTTTATTTATACAAGTACGTTAACTATCCGGTATGTTTGATATGGTAGGTTGGAAAATAGTAGATATGGTTAAAGAAAAAAGTTTCAATTTTATTCAACGCGAAATCGTTGGACAAAGAAGAAGGTGGACGAAATGAATACGATATTAAATTTAAATTTGAATTTTTGGATCATAGAAATTTTATATTATCTGAGAAATTTGTTTTCTTGATTTCCCTCTTCATCTTATAACTAGAATCATGCACCCCTTCGTCTAAAATTTACGAAAATAAAAACCCTTCATTTTTCATATTTATATCTTCAACAAATGTACTACCCAACCCAAAACTCGAAAAGTTAAAAGGCATTACCGCGAGGCGCCCATTGCAATGGCTGCATTTGAAGCAGGTTTTGTGATAAGGAACACCATCTGCAGACATAGTCTCAGCAAAATGAACAGTTTTATTACAAGATTTGCATTTTTGTACAGTGCCATAGAAGGCCATTTTTTCTTTGTTTGATTTGGAAAAACGGAATTATTAGTTTCAGACTTGTTTCATATGGAGTTTTTAATCTCTTCATAAAAAGAGGTTAAAGGCAGAAAGTGAACCGCAAGAACAAGTGGAGCAGATAAGTTCTGCCTAATATTAAGGGCACGCAATGGAAGGCCTAATTTTGTTGAAACAAAGAGATGTCCTAATAAATAGTGAGAATTAATACATAAAAGGTCTTAACCATGGTACGGTTCGAGCCAATTTTGATGAGAAGGGACATGAACACAACACGAAGTACGGAGATTTCTCTACATGTGGTTTCTTTTATAGCAATGGAATCGAATCAAACTAGAATGGTTTTGTCCAGTTCTTTTATGCTTCAAAATAAATTATGAAGCGTAAACTTTCGAGACAAAAGCATTTATTATTTTGTATCGACCTTTAATTAATGATTTATTTACTATTGACTTTATAAAAGGATGAATTTAGAATACAATGAAAATTCGGTTTAGTCTTGAATCAGTTAAATTTGAACTCCAAATGAATCAAACCAACTAGTTCGATTATGGCTCGATTTTAGTAATTCCAAAATTTCAATCCATCTTCGATTTTAAACATTTATGCAAAGGCTGATTATATTCAAGCCATAGTTTTTATTATCTCTACCACACTTTAAGTTTAATAGATGTCCCTAATTTTTCGCTTATTTTTATGCTCATATCTTCAACTTTTTTTTCTTTTTCTTAGCCTTTTTATCCTTATACATCTTGTCTTTGATAATGATGTTGGTCCAAATATTTTGTTGACTGCATGGCTTTATACGGCATTCTTATGTGTGTTATAAAGCGTTTACGACTTGTAATGTACGCCATAAAAAATAAACTCTGTTCTAGTGTGCATTGAAAAGAAGGATAATTTTTTTTGTCAAATTTTTTGTATTTGTTATTTATTTTACTGAATATTTTATATGAATGGAGAAAAAAGGAAAGGGGAATTCAGGGGACATTTTTTTAAGAATTGAGGTTTCATATTAAAATGTCAATTTTATTAAGAGAAGTATGTCAATCTTTTAAAAGTTGGTATATGTTTTCATCGACGTGGGATTTTATTTCTTAATATGTCCCAACAAGATGGTAGCTCATTTTGTGCATATCAATCTTGAAATTCGCGTACTCAAATTTTTTAGTCTCCAAATAGCTCGTTTGAATTTAATAGGCTTTGATACCATAATAGAGCTTGAGAAATATATATGGAAAAATTTCATATCTAAGAGTTGAAGTATAACTTATTTCAAAACTAAGAAACGAAGTTTATTATTTCAATAATCAGATATCAATATCAAATTTTATTTATGAAATAATTAATTAAATATATTTTATTAAATTAAGGTCACGATATTATATAATTTATTATCACAATTATGTATTAATCACAATTACAGACGTTACACTCACAAATCATAAATTTTATGGGTCATAAATTTATCAAAATAATAGGTCACATATTATTACTTGGTCGCAAATCACAAATTTTTGAAGTCACAAACTTATTTCATAATCACAAAATATCAAATTAATTGGTCATAAATCATTTTTAGGTCATAAATTAACAAATTATTGGTCACAACTTAACAAATTTGAGATCACACATTATTTATTGATCACAAATTATCGATTTCATTGGTCATATATTATTTATTAGTTCCATAGTAATCAATTTATTGGTCATAATCAACCAAATAATATGTGGTTACCATCACAAATTGTGACCATTACCTCACCACTGTCTCCAACAACACCGTTGCTAATACGGCCATGACCAAAATCACCACCACCTCACGACAACCGACAGCACCACCACCATCTCCACCATTCAAACAAACCAACACCTACCACAAAAAATCGCCACTATTTCACATAATCGTCGTCAACCACTACATATTTCACAGTGGCCTAAAGCTAGATTTTCCCCCAAACTCGAGTTATAGCCGCGGCTGGAGATTGCGGTTAGATCTCGTCATTCACTACCATATCATGTCCAAACTCCCGTCATTTCACAACAAGACCGCTGCAACAAACCCCAATCGCCTATGCACTACCAACACCATGAACAGTGTCATCCCATCCCACTGCATAATCGCCGTCAAACAACCACTACATAATAACCAAACCAACACACGTCATTCAAACAAACATTGCATGATTGCCATCAACCACTATATATTGAGCAGTGGCCTAAAGCCAATTTTTCCCCCCAAACTCCCGTTGTAGGCGCTGCTACAGATCACGGCAAAACCTCATCATTCACAGCTAGATCACCTGCAGATCACTGTCAGACTCCCGTCATTTCACAATCAGACCGATGCAGCGAACCACCAACCACATGTACATCGCCAGTACCATCAACAACGAACAACAGAGAAATAGATGCAAAAGACGAGAGAGAGAGAGTTGCATACGACAGTGCCTATAGCCAAGTCAATTTTATAATATTTGTTGACCCCAAAAAATGAATCAACAGATGCCGGGTCCACTCGCACCGAGTCAAGTACTATTCTACGTGCGTTCCTACTGGAGTGACGACGGTAGCACGAGGAACGGTAAACAATTCCGTGCTACGTGACCTCATTTCACTGGACCTTGGAACCGACGAGTAACAATATTAAGTAGTTTAAAATATCTTATTTTTGAATTAAAAAAATCCTTTCAAATCTAATTTTTGAATTGAGAATTTGAAAACCATGGATATGTGAAACTTCCACATAATATAATATGGTATATCTTTTATTAATGAGATGGAAGTATTTATATAGGTACATCAAAACAAACATAAACTAATTGATAAGTTGCAATAACAACCTAAACTAACCGATAAGACACCTTTGATAAACAGATTACATAAATAGAAAACTAATTTCTATCTATAAGATATATCTAGACAACAAAGTCAAATAAAATACAAATTCAAATATACAAGCAACACTTTGATGATAATCTACCACAACATAAATGAATAAGAAATTGATTTTATCTACGAAATAACAACTAATATAAAGAAAAATATCTTAATTAATTAATTAATTATTATTATTATTATTGAAGAAAATGATTAATTAGAAGATAGAAATTAAGATTTTTATTTTTTTTATTTTTTATTTTTACAACACTGGAAGATTCAAGTGAATTATTTTCTATTTTTTTCTATATTTCATTAACTTTACATGGGTAATATATAGGGTCTGATTTGTTATTTCAATTAAACTTTTAGGGATGGAAAATTGCAAAATCGACTATTTATCAAAACCGATTATATAGGGCGTGATTTGATTTGGAAACATGAGAACGTTTATCAGAAACCGACTCTATCTGATATGAAGCTCCATCTAAGTTGTATTATTTATACTGTCCAGAGCCTAGTCTTACATTGATTTCTCTTGTTTGAGCTCACGTAAAAACTTGATAGTTCTTTTACTATCTTCGGAGGACATGAGCTTTAAAGACAAAAACTCTCTATGGTCGAGTCTTTCATAGTAAAATGGAGCTATTGTCTCATCTTTGATTCAATCGCTTTGTTGACATTGATGTTCCTCGCCACATTAAATTTCTTGCGTCGCCTTAGGTGGACACGTGAGCTTGGGTAAAAGATTAAAAGTCAAAATATATTCTTCAAATTCTAATCACAAAGAGAGATAATATCTCACAATTGCGATGCACAAAAAAATAAAAATAAAAAGGTTCGACACACATAAATCTGAAGTTTTCTAGTTGAGCATTGCAATTCTATGCTTATAGCAATTATATTCGCAATAGCAAAAGGTATGCGAAACACCAGGCATCTGCTCACAATACCCGAACTCATTAAGATCTGTAAAGTAATCGACGCACAACACTTTACAACGAGTGTCGTTCAATGTCTTGTTGTCGCATACACCGATGATGGCTAAGCACCTCCACGGGGACTGATGCTTAACAGGAGCACCTTTTGCTGTTACGGTCGACACATTGCTACCTGTAATTAGCAGATTATTAGAAAAGATATTGACTTGCATAATCCAATCCACCTTATTAAGTAATTATTAAGTGACAGTAATCACTTTGAACCATCGATGTTCGAAGCTCTCGAAATGATCTTCCAGTTTTGGGAAGAATTCACAAAACTCTGTTTTCATCGAGAATGAAATGGAGTTTATAATCAATTTAACTCTTGTTTATGATGCATCCAAATACTGGATGCTACAAAGAAGATCGACTAACATGAACCCTACGTAGAGATGACACATACATATCGAGAAATGAATCATTTCTTGCACAGATAGTTACCTTCTACTGAGAAAATAAGGGCAATGAAAATGAGAACACCTGGGAAATGACTGGCCATGGCCTTACTTTGCATGAAAATATCGAACAACTATTGATGTTATATATAACACACCAAACTTTCCGTTTTATATTTCAGAGTTTTCCCACGAAATTAACCTCTAAAGGTCGTAAACACATTATATTAAATCTAACGAACTTAGTATCCTTTTCATTGTGGTTTAGAAGAGTATAAAAGTGTTATATAGTCGGTATATATGTGTGTGTGTGTGTGTGTGTGTGTGTGGTTTGAAAGGCAAAATATAAAGTCTCAAAAGGGTGCTTTAATTGGAGATTTCCAGCATTTGTGTAATATAATTTAGATTGCTTGAATCATAGGAAAAGTAACACCAAATCTTCTCATATTTTCACAATATATCAGCCAGTGACAAAATAAACCTGACCATAACAAAATAAAACGTCTGCAATAAATAAACTACACCAACAATAATAATTAAAGACGAGACATTAGCGACGAAATTAATAGTGGTTAAATGTTATTTCTATAGATATAGTTAATAGTTTGTCGTTTTAAAGAAAAAAAACATTGATGTTGGTGTTGTAGCGATAAGAGTAGTTTAAGAACTTATTTCAAAGGTTTAATTACATCTGTGGTCACTCAACTTTCACTATAACTACAATTAAGGTCACCAAACTTCAATTTGATGCAATCAAACACTTCTTCCTAATTTTTGTATAACATTTATGGAAATACTCGAGAAGAAACAAAAATGAGTTGAGTTAAATATTTTGATCGTGCCATTTTTATTGAATTATTTCTAAATAGCATAGCATTTTTTTCCTCGTCCCAAAATTGTCTCATGCATGAGAAAGTAAAATTTCAAAAGGCTTTTTTTTTTTTAATTTCACCCTTCCCCCAGATGGATAATCGAACTCAGGTCAATAAGACTTCACCCTTACCACTTAAGCTAGGTCTTTATCTCAAAATTTCAAAAGAATTTGGCACCATGCTTATTTGTGTGCGAAGTTCACACACACAAAAAAATTATTTATTTATGCTCGCTCGAGCGAGAAGCATGGGGTAGACTTTCGGCCCCACTTCACGCATTGAAAACCTTTGCAAGACAACGTAGTCTAGCTCTTTTGTCTCACTAGCTTAAACTATTTCACAATTAAGCCCTTATTTGGTGGTCTTTTTTTTTTTTTTTTGGAAAAATATTATTTTGAATAGTGAATTTAGAATAACTAGTTAAAGTTGAACATGTGTTGCACGTTATTTTAAAATACTTTTTATAAGTGACGTAAAGATAATGTTTGATATCATTTTGTTAAGAAGATATGATAAGTCTCAAATGAACTAAATGAAATAAAATTTAAGATAAAAATTTAAGAGAAGAAAATTGTGCTCTCAAAATTCAACTTCTATTATTCATATTTTTGTGATGATGAAATACTATAAATTATCAACTTTTTTATACTACATTTGGTACGTAAATATTAATTTTCAATACACGAATTTAAACACCCATTAAAATTCCTAAATACATGAATAGAAATAAATTCATCTATAATAACTCTAGATTCATGTAGATCATGATTCATTAAGTCAAGATTCATTGAATCTAGATTAATGTGAATGTTAATTAATCAAGAATTAATAATACGATCCTAAATACATGAATAGAAATAAATCCATCTATAATAACTCTAGATTCATATAGATTAAGATTCACCAAATCAATATTCATTGATTCTAGATTAATGTAAATTTTAAGAGTAATGATATTCATCTTCATTGAAGTTGAGCCACAATCTATGTGGCAACTATATGGTATTAAATGATATATTCATTTAAATATAAAGTCACATGACTCATTTAAAGTCATGTAATTGCCACATAGATTGGGGCTCATCCCCAGTGAAGATGAATAACATTATTCAAATTTTAATTAATTGAGAATTAATAACACAATTCATACATAACAAGAATTTTATAAGAATTAATTACTAATAAATGAAATTAAACACCCTTTAAAAATTTTAGATACATAAATAAAAATAATTTCATTTATAATAACTCTATATTCATGTAGATGAAAATTCATCATTCAAGATTCATTGAGTCTAGATTAATGTGAATGTTAATTAATTGTGAATTAATAACATGAAATTCATACATGACAAGAATCTCATAGTGCTGATTACATATTAAAAGATGAAAAGTAAAGAAATTATTGTAGTATGGTTAAAATCGTCCAAAAATTGATTTTCACTTGATGTGATAATATATGAAATTCATACATAACAAGAATTTTGTAAGAATTAATTGCTAATACGTGAAATTAAACACCCATTAACATTTTTGGATACATGAATAGAAATAAATTCATTTATAATAACTCTAGATTCATGTAGATAAAAATTCATCAATCAAGATTCATTGAGTCTAGATTAATGTGAATGTTACTTAGTTGAGAATTAACAACATGAAATTCATACATGACAAAATTTTTATAGTATTTATTACATATTGAAAAAACGAAAAGTAAGGTATTATTGTATTAGGGTTAAAATCGTTTAAAAATGATTCTCACTTGATGTGATATTTATCATTTAATGTCATGTAATTGCCACATAAATTGTGGCTCATCCCCAGTGTGGATGAATAGCATTATTCAAATTTTAATTAATTGAGAATTAATAACATGAAATTCATACATGACAAGAATTTTGTAAGAATTAATTGCTAATACATGAAATTAAACACCCTTCATAAATTCATTCATAATAATTCTATATTAATGTAGATGAAGATTCATCAATCAAGATTCACTGAATCTAGATTAATGTGAATGTTACTTAATTGGGAATTAATAACATGCAATTCATACATGACAAAAATTTATAGTATTTATTACATATTGAAAAATGAAAAGTAAGGTATTATTGTATTAGGGTTAAAATCGTCCAAACAACGGTTCGCACTTGATGTAATATTTAATATATTATAAATATGTAGTTAAAAAGTATGAAAATTTTTTTTGTTTATGTATAGAATATTTTATTGTATAATGTATGATTGAAAATGAATATGAAAATTCTTTTATTTTTTTTTGAAAGAATGAAAGACAAATAGAGGCTAACTTTAAGTTATCAGGCATCAATACTTGATTATTAATTTTTTGTAAAGTCGGGACCAAGGCAAATAACAACCTAGAAGGAGGTTGAATAGGTTGTTACCAAATTTTTAATATTGCCCAAATAAAGATATAAAGTTGTTACCTAGTTTTTCAAGCCTCAGTTAGAATATGCGAGTTAACTCCCTTAAATACAATTTCTAATCATTCGTACTAAACCTATTTTTATTGAAAATTTGAAGAGAGTTGAAATCTGATCAACTACATAATTAGTACTTGATAAACTGTATCGGAGTTCTATGATGCATGCTAAAGGAAATAACAAAGGCAAGTCTTCCCAATATTTTTTAAACTTTAATTCCATAAAATATATAATTTTACTAAAATCGAGATTTTTTTCATATTTATGAAAAACCCTTGCAATTATATAAGAACGTTCAAGCACCATACAATTAATGGGATAGTAAACTTCAAATAAAATATTTGTAGAGTCATAAAAACTTGTCACATTTTTTTTGATTAAGAGCTAAAAGCCAATTAGATTCATTCAAAATAGTGTGATCTTCGTTTTTAATATGCATATTGTTGTAAAATTTAGTTATGAAATGGTCAAGTCCTTCACATGATTTTAATAATATGTGATTGGAGTTCCATTTATACATTATGTCACTAACAAATGTTTTCGTATTTAACACCCCAAATTCGACACAAATCCCTCAAAATCTTGTTTTTTGTTAGGTGAAATCGTGATATATATTAGTGCATCCCTAATTCTTTGAATTTCATTCTTAATATGCTTCAAACTATCCCCGCACAATTAAATTAAAAATATGACACACACAACGAATATGTATAAATAACCACTAAAATCGAATTGCAACCCTACACAATTTATTGATAACTAACTTATTGACACAAACGTTTTCAAAATATAAAAGAATGAACTTTACTCTTGGAATGATATTTTCTAATAATGCTCATAATAGAGTTATATATATTATTAGAATTGGGAGAGAGCTCAATAATATTAAAAACAATAATTTTTTTATGCACACACTAAAGTGGGTATATGTAGTGTAAAACTGAGACTATATAACATCTTTTATCAATCGCTTCCCATAAATCCGAAGTTAAAAATATAACACTCTCATATTTTTACAAATCGAAAAGTAATTGTTTCTTTGTATTAAGAAAATATTCTATTGTATCGGAACGAAAAGTGTTTCTACTTACCAAAATGTACCTCGATTGAAGATATTCTTTCATGTAGGAGACGAAATGTTGGTTGTCCACTATTGCTAGAGGCAACTCAACACCGACAACAAACGTGCAAAGTGGAATATTGTGTGAAAAAAATTGAAAATTTGTTGGGATATTTCTAGAGTAAAAAAAGAAGGAAAAAATTTAACGTATTCAAAATGGCCACTTGTAAGTCCAGTGACCGTTGCGTGGCTCGTGGGCTTGCCTCACTGGCAACTAGCGAGTCGGCCCACTCGGCTCGGGCTTAAGCCGCAGATGAGCCGCTTGACTCGTTTGACACTTCTATATGCAAATCAAGTACTTTTGAGTTTTGACACAATTCCTTCTAGCTTGTTGGGTTAAGCTTGAAAGCAAATTAAACATACAAATTTAACATGTTTTTGTTTCTACGTGTGTTTAAATAAGTTACGGTTTTCTTATTTATATATAAGAAATATAAGTAAATTAAGTAACTTATTTTATATTGTGACCAACAAAACGATTATTTATCTTAAAACTTTCGTACTTGTGATTGCAAAATGAAGAAAATTTCTATTATGTTCTAACATGCAGTACTACACAACTTGCCTTTCAAGTAAACTATGTCAGGTTAGGTCGAGTTTAAAGAGTGTTTGGCTACCATCCTACACATCTAGGCACTCTAGGAAAATGCATCATTTTTATT